CTGGCTAAGAGTGACAGGATATCAATCAATCAAAGAAAACGTGCATAAATTTTACAGTTGCTTGAGAAATTTAGATCCAGGCAGTATTTATTCAAGTGTGTGTAGACTTTGTAAAGTGATAGTCCTTGCATTCCAATTTGTACAGAATTGGATATATACGATAAACTTTGTAACAGCTTGCAATATAAATTTTCAACAGCATGCATTCACCAGGGTCTGCAGTGGCCGCGTGGGCTGAGGCGTGGGCCTTGTGCCGCTTGGTCGCTGGGACCGTGGGTTCGAATCCCACTCAAGCCATAGATGTCTGTCCGCGTTTTTCTGTGTTGTGCTGTCCTGTCCTGTGTACAGGTAGAGGCCTTGAGACCGGCCGATCCCTCGTCCAAGGAGTCCTACCAAAATGTCTATAGATCGAGCCAACAAAAAGTTGTGACCCGCAGTGCTCAGGCACTTGAAGAATGGGTCGTTCCCAGTATCCCAGCATTCACCAAGAGCAGCTTCATTCAGAATGCTGTAGAAGATTCGTTATGTGCAATTTTTTTATTAGATCAATGAAGATACCAAGTGACTTGAGCAATTCCTTCTTATGAACCCTCAGAGTAAGTAATCTTTACGTCAGATTTAATATTATCCAATATTATATACACAATGTAAGACCCTAATTTTAATTAACCAAAATTCTTTATTTTTCGGAAAACTGGTTTAAAATAAAATTTAGCAGCTTAAATTTCGTCGCACGACGGTATATGAGAATGGAAGGTTGGGGGAATGAAACAATTTCTTCGTGGTTAATACCGCACCGACTTTGATATTCATTAACTACCGGTTATTATCAGTAACGAGGCGTTTGTTTCTGCGCATGCGGAGGAAGCGCTGTGATAAGAACAGTATTCCGAAGAACAGCCTGTGGCCAGAAACGCAGTGTTAACCGCGCTAGAATCGGGAGGTGATGTTCCGTTGTCTCGTAATGGAACGCTGGGAAGTGTATTGATTTTCCAAAATGGCCAAGGAATGACAACATATGGGCCAAACCTGGAGGATTTTTAAAGTAACTTTCAGTATGAATCTTGTGTCACTCTGGTTCATTATTTGCGTGTCACTGAGCAGCGAGGTTATAGCCAACGTAGAGTTCTATCCAGGTAAATAACGCGATTCATTCCTACTAATACATTTTATTATTTTGAAAATAGTGTTACACAAGTTTTGCTATGATAGTACGTTATCAATAAATCATAAGTATTGCTATACAGAAGCACCAGTGCTTGTAAGGCATCTTTAATACAATTTGTTGCTTTAATTGTATATATCACAGTGGCTTCTGAACGATTCATGCTGCAAGTTTATCTCGCTTATTAAATTGTTCTTTTAAAATAGAAAAGACAATCAATTTAGAATTTTCCAATTAAGCGGAATTTGTTTAGGACTGCAATACGGTGACTACATGTACGTGGCTCTGAACGGAGGCCTATTTCGTTATAATACTAACCACAACTCTAACACACCCAATCCTGCTAACATGCCACTGTATTTTGATTTTTATTCTGAATTAACTAACGGAGCTGATTACGTTCGGTAAAGATACACCGTGTAACATGAAATCATTTTTAAAACAATTCACATTACACATACACGAAAGAGTGGCAGTTGTTTGATTATAATTTCATTGTGTCCCGCGACAGTTACGAATAACAGTATGGAGAAAACGAACCATCAAATGCGTACAATATGAATGCTTTCATTATTTAAAGGATTATTTATTAATATAGACGGAATTTGTTTCTTCTAATGTGCCGTGTTTTGTTGTTGCCAATGAGATTATTAGTCATAGACTAATAGACTAAACCGTGTTATCAAACTTCGCAAATCGCCTTGAAATACAGGTACCTGTTGCAGTACATCCGCTTTCTTAGTTGGTTTGAAGATAGAGCTTAGATATTACATCGAATACGACGCTTACTGTTCGTAATACGTTAGATATACCCTACTGGTAGCACACCTGCTTCATATTTTGGAGGTCTTGTTTTCAAATCTGTCTGACATGACTGAAGTATCTCATGGTTTTACTTTGTCCATCCATGAGATACCTCAGTCATGTCAGACAGACCCATGGATCAAAGATGAAATTCTATGTACCTGCCATTTGACATGAATAAATAAAACTTTGTCCACCCAGACAAATGCCTGTGCCACAACTGCTTCCTTACACATATGTTCCAATTCATTACTAATTAATCATCCTATCATTCAATGCTATTACAGTCTTGGTAAATGAAATCATCTTTCACTAAACCCAGAGTAAGTAAATAAACAAATGAATATATAATATACTCATCTCGACACCTTCTTTGTTGGTTATGTAAACATAATCCACTGAGTTTACAATGTACATCCATCCATATACACAAAAACAAATTAAATGGCATGACAGTGTGCTGCACACAATCAGAAGATGGTAATTATAATGTAAACACATTCATGTTCAGAAAGCAGTTATCTGCCACCATAAGTTTCACTGTTTGTATTTTGATAATTTTTCCAAATACTTCCATGCAGTATCACAAGGACTACTATACACAGTAATAGAGAATCAACCATTAAATCTTTGAACTGAATCTATTATTTAGTTTGCATATTATCACTTCAAATATGTAGATGGTAAGTAAGCTATCTGCATGTGTATATGTGTTAAAATTATCATTAACAAAGCACATGGCTATAAAGAAATAATCAAAAAAGTAATTAACTGGTATAATGCGCATATTTTTGTTGACTATAAGATTATCACCAGAATCAGAAATTAAATTGAGTCTTCAAGAATTACAGAGTTTGCTACTATTTATTCTAAATTCTATAGAAGGTAATCTAGGCCTGTATGCGCTGTTGACATAGTATAAATGTTTTGCCAAGTTATTTAGTATCTACATATCAGTAAAAACAACACACACAGACACAATATTTATAAAATATGCAAACAAACAGATCTTAAAATATATCTCCAAAACAAGAGGATTCTGTTCTGACGGTCAGTTAAGTTGGTGAAGTCACAACAAATATTGTGTTATTAGGTTATAACAGACAAATGAAGACCTTTTGAAACAAACAAACGAAGAGCCAATAGCTACACAAATTAAGAGCAGAAAATGGAGGTGAATTGGACATACCCTGCAGAAGGACCAAAATGCTGTTGTAAAGCAAGCACTCTCCTGGAATCCCCTGGAGGAGAACCATTGAAGAGGAGGCAAAGAAGGAAGGAAAGACCTGGAGGGAGCTGAAAGTTCTGGCTCGTAATAGAACTCGTTGGCGCTGCTTTGTCGAGGCCCTATGCTCTGGCTAAGAGCGACAGGATATCAATCAGGTTATAACAACAATAAAAATTAAGAAAATAATCAGAGGGTGCGAGAAATGCACTGTAATAATGAGGAAAGAAAACAGAAGAGTAAGAAAACCACATCTTAAAAGAAAGTAATATAGGGAAATAAGCTATAAAAAAATATATTTAGACTCCTTAGGATTCACAATAGGAAACATGGAAAAATTATATGCTTAACAGAATATTTTAGATTAATTAAAATTTGAACACAAAAATGTAGTGAATTTAAACAGAACAGAAAGATCCTAGAAACAACACCATCAATTAAAAAAATAATAGGAATTTTATGAAGTCTAATAATTTCAACTGAATAATTTCTTGCAGAAATGTAGTCATGGCAGATATTATAAATCAAATATGAAAATAGAGTTATTTGTTCAACATTAATTTGACTTACTTGTGTGAAACACACTGTAGGTATTGTACAGAATGCAGTTCATGTTCGACGTAAGTGGAATGGGTGGTATTTTGAGTTAAATTGCCTTCAGCATTAAATAAGATATGTAATGATTTAAACTGAATAACTTACTCTTGACCTCAAACTTCCCACTATAATTAAGATTCTGATCTCCTTGAAACAATGAATTTAGAAACGTACAATACAAGCAGAATAATTCTTGTCTATGATTATATATAATGCACAACTTTCAGAGTCAACAGATGTTCTAAAAGTAAGTTTCCATATGACTATAGGTTATGAAATAGACAACCTCTATAAATATCCTCTGCCCTTACACTAGCAACATTCTAGTAGCTATAAATATTTCAGTACCAATAATAATTATAATTATTATACCTCTCAAGCAAGATCACAGGTCTAAAGTGGACTTCAGTTTAAGCTTTGAAAAATAAACCATTTATATAGCACTACAATATTTGAGCAGCAAATGAAAGTAAAATTTTCTGTTGAACTGGTAGCCAAAAGTAAACATATATAGCATAATAATTATAAGAACTGATTTCCACTTTAAACTAATCTATTATTTAAGATTTGAGGTTTTCAGAGCGGTGAGTATGAAGCTGTCGTCTGGGTTGTTGCGCTGCGATTCACTGCCCTGATGACGGAAGCAGTACGACCTCTGAAACGTTGGTTAACATCGACCAGACTACACAGCACAACAACCCAGAAGACAGAAATCTTCCTAATCTATTAGTTGTTAAATGTACTCATAAACTGTTTCATATCAATCGCTCTGGACTATAACTGAAACAGAATTTAACTTCAGTCTTCTGTAAAAGGGGCATGACATTAACATACATTGTTAATTAGAATGTGCCGAGTTTCTGTTAATAAATCTACACTTTACATTTAATGTAAAGGTCTCTATATATAACGACAAGAAACAGTACAGTACATATCTTCATGATAAATGTACTTCTGTATAGAAGAAATATTACTAAATTATAAATTTGTGCTGAAAATCTGAAGCAAAAATATTTTACTCTCCAATCAAATTTCTTTAAATGTGCTTCTGACAGCAATATTGGAAAAATCAACAAATGCAGTACTGTTCAAATTATACAATGGGAAAAAAAATATGTACATATATATCCTGTTGTGACGCAGTACACACAAGGATAGGTGATAATAGCTCATAAAAGCTGTTACCTATAATTGAAGAAGAATAATCTCTCTTAGGCTCAAGCTTTCTGGTAATTTATTTTCAGCTACTACATTTACACATCATAATCCATGGTGTGCCACAAATTTTATTTAGGGCTTAGTTTACACTCTCAAACTTCTTAAAACTCTTCTTATTGAAAAATAAGTGCCTCCTTTTCTACTGCAATCCTTTCTTATATGTAACAGAAAAAAATTAAGTTATTAAGCCAATTCATATAATTATTATACAAAAATTGTTGGTATAGTAAATCATAATGGAGTATATTTTTTCCATCACTTTGTTCAATTATCAGCTTTCATCCAAAGATTTCTTGAAGATGCTGAGCTCATGATAAAATTTCCATCTTCAGTGTCAGTATCTGCTGTAATACCATTAAGCTCAATTCCAGCTCTTATATTTTCCAGTGAATCACACTCCGCCAAACCCTCCCGTTCCACTGATGACTGAAGATAGCGATCTTGATAAAATGAAAACGAGCGTAGAATGGAGCTGTTCTGAAAGACACCACTTCCAGAGTTGTTGATACTATCAAAATATTCTGAAGATGAGGAATGCCATGGAAATGCTTGCGTTCCTGACGACTGATAGACTGATTTATGATGATCAGATGCTATATAGTTGTTACTTGTAGTGATATTAGTTTGATGTTTAAAAGCTACCAAACATGATTCTTTAGATGATAGATGGTTCAGTGAATCAGGATATGTGTCATCTAGTTGCTGTGCAGGAATGTCTTGTGATGGATGAACTTTAGTATTTTCAACAACAGGTGATCCAGATTCCTAAAGGCAGAAATAAAACATATATTTACAGAATACAAATTGTCACTTTCTATAATTACCAATTTATCCAGTGATAAAGAATGCTGCAGCTATATGATTATTTCTTACTCATAAAATATGAATATATATTTACTGGGAAACAGAAGAGGCAAAGAGTCTGAGAGCAAAGTGAACATTTACCCTTCCACGTTACAGTCATACCAACTAATACTCTTGCTTGCACCAGATTGTCTTTATAGGTCATTTATAATTTTTTCCATAATTTACTTAATTTAATCATTGTCCTCCTTTTCATTCCGCTAACAATATTTAGAGAAAAGTACAAATTATGAAGACCCTCTTTATGAAATTTTCTCCAACCTCCCAATTATTCATTTGTCTTATTTCTAAATAAACAAAGCTGTGTCAATCAAATTATCGATGTCAGAATATTGTGTGTCGATTGAAGGAAAGTTTCACAATGTGTTATGTTCCCTTCAATAGTGCCGTGATGTATAAAAGCAAAAATATGATGGGTCTTGAATGTGTTTGTAGTTAGCGGTAGGGTTAGAGGCATGTCAGATCTATGGTGCAACCAATTATATTTTATTATGACATAATTACAGTACATGTTCTCTGTTGTCTGAGGTATATGTAAACTACACACTTCAGAATGTTCTAATTCCATCTTATTCATAAGACAGATTCAGGTAAGGGCCCTTACTACAGCAGCATCATCATATAAATGGACTGTAAGTGAATATCATGGATAATAATATGAGAATTACACAAATTCTTATTATTTTGTGCCATAAGGTTCACAGTAAGAATTGAATTGGCAGTTATCTAATGAAGTAATGTATGCCTTATTATTTTATAAATATAATATTATTTCAAAATATGTTCATTTAATTACAAACTAAACTAACTTCACAGAGTAAGTACTTCTTGGAAAGCTGATAGTCATTCAGTTGGTTAAGTAACTTCCTGCATGTTATGGAACCTGAAGGTTTATTACTGTGTTCAAAAGAGCCTTAAACTGTATTTAAAAGTACCTTTATAAGAAGTGTTCAGATTTTAGTATTGATAATTCTTGAATATGGTTTAAAGATATTTTGAATTCTGTTACATCCCTAAAATCACGGTGATATTTACATAAAAGTTAGATCAAATTCTTCTAACCAAATTTATCTGTGATAATTATAAGTTACAATCCAAACTTCAAACCCACTAATTTCTTGAGCAGTTTTGAAACTTCTGGATAAAACAAAGAAACAAAAACACGACTCAGTAATTCTATTATGCGTGGAAGGATAAGCTGACATGAGCATGTATGATATGCAGTGTGTCCAAAATTGTGGACATGCTCCACAGAACTTGGCAAGAGCTCGAATATCGTCTGGACGTTCTCCGTGCTACCAAAGGAGCCCACATCGAGGTCTACTGAGGTCAGTAAAAAACTTCCAGAGTTTCACTGTAATCTGCCGCAAACCGCATGTGGCTAGTTCAATTTGTATGCGAGCCACAATTTTTCAAAACCCTGAAGGGACTTTGTGGACACACTGTATAGCTTTCTCAGTGATTAAATTCAATGAAGTCTTCATGGGCAATCAGAATAAGCAAGCATAACTTCAAGATCATGCAGTTTCATGTCCCGTGAAATACCAAACTTGCCCGTATAATTTCATGAAATAACATGGCTTTTACAGGCAATACAAACATACATTCTGATATGGGCATAATACATTAAATGCAACTGAGTTTTCAGCATTCTCACTTTGCTGTACCTGGAAACATGCAAGATGCATAAAGCAACTACAAAATTAATATCCCAATTACAACAATGCAAGCAGGCACATAATTTAATTACTTATCACAAATATATATATTTAATGTGCTACCATATATCTTCCCCTTGTGCTACCTAATGAGGCCAACTCCACCATATTTCATTAATACAAATAATTACTGCCAGTGCATCAACTCCTCCTCCTGAAAATTCTTACAGCCCTACTATTTTACCAGTCAATGCTACCAACATTGTGAAATAAATACAGTACTGATCAGGAGCAGGACACTTAAAACTACACTTAAGAAAAGAAGCGTTGGTATAAAACAACTTGGATAAGATCTGTGCTGTTCCCAGACCGAAAGGTGTCAGACTCAGACGTGACAAAGAGGAGTGATAATTTTAAGTTCCTCTAACAGAAAACTGGACCTTTAAGTAAAAAATTATAAAATCAAAGTAAAAAAGTAAAGCTATATAGACACTTGAGGGGAGAGGACATATAGCTCCTACTCATTCTTAACCTCCACACTAGATGGGGGTCAGTGGTCAGCGTCATCCCCCAGCTGTGCTTTACCCCCGGGAAAGGACCCCAGTACCCGTCTGGATGCAGAGGCTAGAGGAAGAATCCTCTAAGTCGGGGATCAAACCCTGGTTGTCCAGTCCATAGTCAATCACTAAGCTGACAGCTACCCCAGCTCGTATAAAAATTATAAACTTCCATAAAATAAAGAAAATTATATTTCAACCTATGTTATTAGTAAAAGATTTTTAAAACTTGTATTATGTCTCTTTTCTTATTTTTAAAGAAAATGTTCTGACATGACATACCACTGCACACCACCAGAAAAAATGCCCTGGATATTATCAAGCACTTACCAGAATAATTTTCCACAAAACAAAAATGCAACCTCTTAGTATTTCATTCAGACATTATATTTCTTCATTAGGAGAAGTGTTTGAGGAAAAGACCAGTAAATAATTTGTGGTACAGTAAAACCTATCTAAAATGGAACCTGGATACAGAAAAACCACTCTACTCTTCTTCCTGGAATTTATCTAGAAAGGGAACATTTCTGTGACAAATGAGACATAATTATGCCCAGCCATGAACAAATACGTGCAAAATATTTTTCTGGAATACTGAAAAAGTAAAAAAGAAGGATAAAGAGTGAAAAGAATTGGGGGAATTAAGAAAGAATGATAAAACTATAAGACCAAAGAGACATACAGAGGATTCTAATAGCATATGAAGATATATGTAAATAATATTAAAATTACTGTCACGAATAAAGATTTGTCCAAATTCTTTCATAATATCAGAGTTTATTTTCTACTTTGGCAAAGTGAAAATAGAGTAAAGTATTTATAAAGATCTCCATGACCTTTCCAAATGAATTATATAAAACTTCCTGAAGGGTCTGAACTGAATATACACTACAATCAGAACTACAATACTACAGTTCACGGGAATTACAAGTGAGTGAGCACACAGAATAGTGAACAGATGCAACTGAATTAGGGTGACCCTTCACTCTGTCTGCGTTCTTTCATTTCCTGAACTGACTGAACATACACTTTCCTCCACCCTTCCTCATCCTGTACAATTAACACAGACACACAGAATTTTATAGTCTCCTCAATTCAACAACTAAACCTGAAGATTATCAGCAAAAGCATATTAAAAGCCCATGTCAGTCTACTTCTGTATTATTTGGTAAAAATTTGGAAACATTTCTGAGTTTCTGTATGCACAGCCCATATTACATACTGCCATATGTGTGGAAATTAATAACCAAATATACTAGCCACATAATTTAATATAAACTTTCGACATTTTGTAGTTTTTTTAAAAAGTTGATTAGTTTATTTTCATCAGGACAGTTTCTCTGCACATGGTTTACAGTTAATTTTATGTCATGTCACCAATAGTGGAATGCAGCAATCTAAAATTTCCCCACTTCTTCATATTTCTAGTACGACATCCCAGCAGTCTCCCAAAATGAATACCAGGTTGATGCCGTCTTACCCTTCTCCCAACAAATCTCAAGGTTATTGGTAGTCATTCATAAATATTCTTATATTTTACTTTTAAATTTTATTTCAATCTTTTATTAAAGATTTTTAAATGTTTTAGTTTCAGAATCCCAATAGGCCAACTAACAATCAGTTTGAATCAAGTAGGCATACGGTTTTAAAATCGATGTTCCACTTTATTTTATTTCTTTATTTCTGGCACTATTTCACTCCTCAGCTTTTAACATTAATAACTTAACTAAATTTAGACATAAGGAAAGTGCCATACCTAGCATTTATAAGAAAAGGCTACAGATAGCTTTATAAGAGAAAATGTACCCTGACCCGAAGGACATACCCAGCTTGTCGAAAAGATGCTAATTCAGTTCTGCGTATTTAAGAAAATAATATATAATGTGGTTCTAGTATTGTATGTCAGTGTCTTTCAATTCTTCCAATATTCTGGCGTTGATTCCTTTAGCAGCACTGCAAACTTACAAAAGCATAAACTCACCCAGACAGAATTAAATGTAAACACTTTGTTAAAATAAATTGCACCTTGACAACCAAAGAGAGCACAAGTAGAATGACTACATATAATTTACACTGCTTTCTGTCTGAGCCAAGAGTGAGTAACACACTCATTGCACCTTGTCGTGGTGGTGGGGCTCGAGTACCTCAGTGTCCCCAAGAGCTACTGGTAGGGCCTCCCTAGCCAGATTGGTCAAGGGGGAGAGGTCAGACTAAGACAGGTACCCTGGTCCTCCAGGTTGGGGGTTGGCCGCAAGGCTAACAACCTTGCACCGTAAAAAGAAATATGTTTCGAAACCTCAAAGCCTCGGACAGATGGACCTAACAGAGGGCCGAATGGAAGAGAAGGATTGAGGAGGCCATGGACCGAATACAGACCGGAGAGCCATAGAAGAAGAAGAAGATCTAACATTGTTTTATGTTTAAAAAAATGTTTTTGCGCTGACTGTACAAATAACATGGAGCCAACCCTATCATGCCATTAAAGCACATACCTTCTAATGATTTTCACATTTACTTGAACAGAGTATAATTTTTTCAAGCACTGACACCTAAAATGCTTAAAATATTTTGACAGATACACAGAATGTCCCATAATTTCATAAAATAAACACTATATGGTTGTTAATGCTTGTACTGAAGACAATAATTACCATTTTCAACATTTAATGCACTTGTTCATATCTACTGCATACTGAATAAGAATATTTTGTTGCACTTACGGTCGTGCTCTAAAAAAATCTCACATTTTGAAACTAAGCCCTTTAAGCCTCAAATGCATTTCAGCTTCTCTGCTCAATCTTCAGTGTACAGGGTGGGTGGAAGTAAGTAGGCATTTCCATTTAAAAAGGTACATGTGAAAATTATCTTTGCATTGGAAATATAGAGGTTATAACCATTTCTCAATGCCTACTTAATTCCCACCCATTCTGTAGAATAATGCTATATACTTTTTGGCACAAAGTTACAGGACATTCTGTATATTCCACACCAAAATGGAAGAACTCGACTAATCACTGACATACAACACTCATGCATTAAGAGCACTATCAGATGCGGTGCCACTCAACAAGTCTACTTGTGGACTGGGTGATATGACGACCCCACGACAGATTTTTGCCATCATAATTATTTCGATATAACCTAGCCTAACCTAAATTAGAAGTTTGTAAGACTGACAAATTTCATTAAGCAAAAACAAATATGGATTCTATGGAATTCTAACTCCTTTACAACGGTCCAATAAAAATATAATTAGTTTCTCTATAGCTGCCCAATCCACAAGTGGACAGAGCCACAATATTATCAAATGGGATTGAAAATCTTGCTTTTTTCACCCAACTACTACACCCTCCATACTCAAAACACAAACAAAACCAAAATTAAAAGAAAATTTCCACTTACAAGAACCTCATTTTCTGGCCCTCTGCTTTCACTGCCTGCACCCCTCTGTCACCATGTTGTAGATTAAATGCTCTGGTGGAAAAATAACATGCCCCATTTGATCATATCTTCCTATTTTAACTTAGAATCGGAGGAGTACTGGTGGCAATGGCGTCCTATCTGTGCCTGCCTGCCTGCCTTAACAGTTCGACTGCTGGTTCTTAGGAAGGCCCGTTGTCAAGTATTTTCAGCCAGTTGCTCCAGAACGAAAGCTTGGTGGATCGTACCTTCGAACTCTGGTCACCGCGCTCGTTCAAGCAGCCATTTCCTATCCGCTGGTTAACGCCCGAATTGTTACTGCCTCCCCTACCCAAACGAGTGACGGCAGGGGTTTGGTGATGAAGGCCTTTACATCCGACAGATGAAGTGAATGAAGTATCCTTGCCTTTACCACTGGAAATCGATTCTCTTCTGTTGCTTACTGAAACATTAGAAGAGTAACTGCTTTGGTGGGAAGGAGTGTCTGCTCGGCCCTTGCTAACAGAAGATGATACGGAGTCGCCGTTTGATTTCTTTCCACTAAGAGAATCCCCACCACGGGCCTTTCCCGTTGATGTGTAAGATTCTCGACTTTTACTGCCACTGTTTAAAGAGTCACGGCTATTATTTCTTCCTAACAGAGAAGAATTTCTCCCACCACTTGGAGATTCTCGGCTTTTCCCTCCTCCAGTAAGGGATGAGCTACTTTCATTCCTATTCTTCCAAGATGACTCTCTGGTAGTATTCTTTCCAGAAAGAGAGGAATTTGAGTCCGTTCTACTTTTCAGTGAAGGTGAACCCCTGTTTCGACTTGATACTGACGTAGATCTTCCACTTGGAGGTTTAGGTGCACAGAGTGATTTTGTTCCTGGAAGCGGTATCTTACTGGGGCGTCTCCTTGGCGACATCTGCTGTAACTGAGGCATTTTCTTTACATCCCCTTGATCACTTGAGCCTTCTTTAGACTGTATACCCATGGTGTGGTCATGGGCTGACTCAGTACTGCTGCTATGATGTATGTTGTCATCTGCATGCATTGGAAGGGCCAACAGAGGAAGAATGGAATTAACAGTGGCTTCAGGAGATACGACTCCAGCAGTGTCTTGAGTTGCTGCCTTCTGCTGGAGACGTTCCAGTACTCGAACACGAGCTCTGGTCCCCTCCAGTTCTATGCTCTTTTCCTCCAACTGCGAAGACACAGAAAACAAGATTACATATTACAGGATAAAAGGGTGACAAGAAAACAAAATATTTTGAAGATAATAATAAAAGAATTTATATTGTATGGTTCAGCGCTGGAAATTGGAAAACATCAGCGACGTTAAGAAACTGAAACACACGTTTCACGAATATAGTTTAGTACCTGCACCTTGTCGTGGTGGTGGGGCTTGAGTACCTCAGTGACCCCAAGAGCTACTGGTAGGGCCTCCCTAGCCAGATTGGTCGAGGGGGAGAGGTCAGACTAAGACAGGTACCCTGGCTCTCCAGGTTGGGGGTTGGTCACAAGGCTAACAACCTTGCACCGTAAAAAGGAAGATGTTTCGAAACCTCAATCAAAGCCTCGATAAGATGGACCTAACAGAGGACCGAATGGAAGAGGAGAATTGAGGAGGCCATGGACCGAATACGGACCGGAGAGCCATAGAAGAAGATGAGAACAGTAGAAGTTATAACATTTAAATAAATCAATATCAAAGATTATTAAATGGTTCAAACATTCACAGACCTGGAATTTAAGGTCATCATTCTCATCCTTTATCTTCTCAAACTGCTCCACCAGATCCACATGAGATTTCACAGCCCTGTCAAGACGTTGGCAAAGAGCCTGTAAAAAAATTTACAGTTCATATTAGAATACACAAAGTAAAATATAATTATGGTCTTAAAGTCACTCTTGAAGAAGACTGAAGCAATAACTGGGAAGAAGACTGATACAGCTAACTGACGATCTCAAACAAGGAAAGAAGATGAAGTTTCAGGAGTTAAAACTAGAAGCTGTGAATAGGGAACACTGGTGAACTCTTTTTGGGCAGAACAATGGACCTGTCGTCAGACAGAACACTAAATAATAAGAGCACAGAAGTGCCATACGTTAAGATTTTCATAACACTTGTAACAAGACAAAGGACATTTTATAGAAATCAAATATTCATTATTTATTTTCTAAATCCAGTTTAAACCATTTGATTAAATAAATTGATTTCCCGGATGCCACTGATGATGACCACCTCTTAAGGTTGAAACGCGTATGGCAATATTGTCTTTTCTATAGTGTCAATAGTTGTTTGTTACTTATTTTATATTACAATAAGAAGCATCATATCTTCCCCATATTTACTTTCTTACACAGAACATATGCATCTTTTTACCTCATTATTAAAATATATAATAGAATAACAGAACCGCGGACTAACCTTGTTCTCGACAGATGTGGTGAGAAGATGTCTCTGCAGTTCAACGGCGCTGAACTCCCTAAGAATCGCTGCTACTTTGTGGGGATCGGGTGTGACCCCACGAGTGATACGTGCAATGCGAGTGGGCCAACTTACAATTCCGTCCAACGTCCCTAACTTGAAACTCGGTGTCTCACTATCCACCGAGCCGGTCAACCTCTCTTCAGCATTTTGAGTCTCTGATACTTCAGACTTGTCATGATCCACACTGTCTTCAACCTCCTGCCTTGATAAAGATGTTCCTACATCTTGTGAATGACTGGATAAATGCGGAGAAGTTACATTCTTATCGACAGGTGATTTTATGATAGTTACACCTTCTGAAAGTCGACGTGAATTTATTGGGACAGGAGTGAAGCAAGATTGGCTCCTGCCAGGACTTGACCCTAGTCCGTAAGCGACCTGACTAGACACTGCGTGGCACACAGCGACAGACCTCCTAGCTCCGGGGACTACGAGCTTCCGGGCAGTTGTGTCGCTAAGCGGTGATACCGAAGAACTGGTGCCAATATTCTTGTTACCGCTCACAAACTGCAGGTGTAGGTCGTGAATACGACTATTGAGTTCACTCTTCTGACTTACAGCTGTCCGAAGCTGCTCCTCCAAGTCTCGCTTGACCTCTATAAGACAATCAAGTTCTGTCTGCAGCTGAGAAGCCCTTGCCCTGCTTGCCAGAGTTTCTGTCTCCATTTCTGCAACTTTATCTAGTAGCAAGTCTCTCTCGTGCTGTAAACTATGAAGATCGTCTTCTGATCTAGCTTGTCTTTTACTATCAAGCTTGCCAAGCACGTGCCCGTCATCCAGACTCTCTCCATCGATATCCAGCAAAACTTTCTGAGATCTTCCAGTCTTGAGGCGTCTAAGTCGTCTTTCTCTCTCCTCCGAAGCGCACAACTTGCCGGACTCATGCACAAGTTGTTGTTCAATGTCACCCAGACTCCTCCTCCTGAGTGTCCCATCACCCTCCTCTTGTCCCAACATATCTAGCCTGTCACTAACCAGGAACCTCTGTTGTAGATACTCGACATCTTCCCGCAGCTTGGTGCCTTTCCTGTGGATGACGTCAAGCAGATTCCATAATTCGTCTTCAGCTTCGTCGAGGACGACAGGTGACGACGCCGTTGCTGCTGGTCTGTGCGCCACCACGGGGCCTGTGGTCGTGCTGTGACAGTGATCCTTGCTAGACGACGTTTCTGTGCCGAAACCCGAGTCTTGCACGGCACTGCTCCCAGCAGAACTTGTACCACTGCCACTGTTAATACCCTCGCCGCTTTTCGGCTGCTGTGCGTGTACCGCTGATGTCTTACTGATCCGTCCTCGGTTCGAAGCTAGTGATGACGACACCGATATCTCAGAGTCTTTAGCACTAGTGTGTGATTGTATTTTGCGGCGAACTCTGATGCCAGGTTCCCAGTCGCGCCTGGAGGATGTCAGAGGAATGGGGATGTTGGATGTTCCGCTGGATGGAGTGCTGCTGGTGTGGGAGACGTTAGATGACGTGATGCCTGCCACCCCCGAGGCCACCATCTTGTTCCGCAGGTGTGGGAATGTCTCCATAACGAGATCCCGGAATTCCAGGAGCGCTCCGACCTCATTCTGCAGCTCCTGTAACGACAAGGAAGATCTCCAGCATGTACTCGCTGTCATAGCTAACTCCACGTTGCAGAGACCTTCATGGGAAGCATAGCCTATATTCGCTCAAGCGATCAATAAATTCTCCGCCTTTTATGGAACCCGAAGGTCCATTACCAAATTCATAACAGCCTACCACTGGTCCCTATCATGAGCGAAATAAAACCAGTCCATATCCCCAATAAATGTCAATTTATGCAATAAGATCAGTGGTACGTTTCTGTCCACATGTCGACATATTATTAATCACTTTTGAATTAGAATAGTGATAAAATATCAATAAAATCAATGACTTGTGAATTTCTGCTCGCCAGCTTGCGAAATTGATATACCTGAGACGAAAGGTTTGTCAGTATCATCACGTTCGCTGCCACCCTATATCCGGTTCTAAACAGAAATTACGCCCAACGGATCTATCTTAACGAAATTGTAGGATTATATTAAAACGTATCTTAGGGAATAAGGACGGAGGGTGGCGGGATATTGTGAACACAGTTATGAACCTTTAGGTTCCACAAATTTCTCTAACAGCTGAGCATATTACATCAGCTTCTCAAGAAGAACTCTGATCTATGAAATTGGTTAGTTATCCTAGTCAGACGGTCAGAAGCCAGGATGGTCGAAGCCTACACCCAAAAGATTATACCGTATACACGTATGAATTTAGTGTTTACATTGAAAAAATATTGAATTTTAAATAAAAAATGTGTTGGAATGCGTAAACAGATGCATATATACACATATCTTTAATACTACTGGACACTGTCAGGCATAATCAGTTCTGATAAGTAGATCATTGATAATCTTTAATCTAATCTTAATATCAGTGGCAGGCACGTAAGCCCATAATTTTCTTTCGATTTCGTAACTGTACATAAAATTATCCGCTATAACTAACTCCATGGAACAGAGCCCATCTTAAGTAGGATTTGAGGTTTTTCCGGCGACGAGTTCGAAGATGACTTGTCTTCTGGGTTGTTGCGTCGCGCAGTCTGGTAGAAGTTTCTGAGGTTCTTGCTGCCTCCATCATCACGGCGAATAGCCCTGATGATGGAGGCAGCAGGAACCTCTGAAACGTCTTGACAAGCAAACAGTCGCTCAGGTAGTTGAACATTCCCGTCTTTTATGGAACCAGCAGATTCAGTACCGTGTTCGTAAGACTCCAAAACTGTACCATATCCTGAGCGTATTCAGTTGGACATTTAACGATGTTACATCACCTACATCGAGTATTTACTGTCGGACTAAACTGACTGGCCTGGAGTAACTGAAGAAAATCACTAATAAAATTCAGTCGGGATAGCTGGTCCGCATTGAACGTTGCGGTTGATGATTGGCACTCCCGTTTAATATACGGGAGGTCCAGGGTTCGCTTCTCGTCACGAAATGAGGTTATTTTAATTATTCCTCAGTCTGTCCAGACAAATCCATGGTTAACTTAAAGTAGGCCAGAACAGCTTCTTTTCCGTCAGTTTAACGCTCATATTTTGGCGTGTATGAAATGCCACTATGTAAAACCAGGGATAAACGTTGCATCTCGCGTGGAAGAAATGTCACCACGGATATTTATGTAGGATTATATTTGAGACTAGAAGTCGTCACGGCGACAAGTGTCAAGACAGCTGTCAGCTGACGTAGCACGTGTAGTGTGGTAGATAACGATCGATGGTTCAGAGAAACATACTTCTTCCACCATCAGACTACACGGTGTTATATCCCAGAAAGAATTCACCTTCTTACGCAGGGTTAGTTCAAAGGTGCAAAGTGTTTAGTGCCGCGAATAGGCTGAGGGACGGAGCCCACGAACAAACCGCTGTTCAACCGATCCTGTACACACCTGTAGCGCGACCAACGACTTCGCCTGTTCGTGGATGAGGTAGTGGAACGGCCCGGGGGAGCGTTGCAACGGCATGCAGTCCATCCCAGGCGGAGCTCCCCCGCTGTCCGGAACCTGAAACAGTTGAGATCAGCATCTTCAAGTATCGTCGTCAACACTTGTCCAACAGAATTCATGAAATTAACTACCTTCGATCTGATCTACAGTTTCTGTTCTGTTCAGTATCCTTGTGTTAAAAAAAATGTAAACCAGAATAAAGACAGAGACACGAAACGAAGGTACGAAAGACCTTTCACAGTTGACTTGTAGGGTCAGGCTTACAGCCTGCAATTATTCACGTTCAAGCACAAACATTCCTATAAGTCTATGATAAGAAAGACGCAAATTAAAAATAACTTTACGTTGTTAATAGCGTATAATTAGTTCAGCTCACGCCTGGACTTTCAGATTCGCATTCAATACAGTAGGGATGAGGACTAAACTTAGGTTAAGTTCATCCAGTCCAATTATTATCTGAACGGGCCACAATAAATTAATCTCAATAATCCCACAGAAATTCGTAGTTAATGAGTTAGCAAGCCTTCATATGTGAAGATCCGGAACACTGATTATCATGGAGCAGACTTCTTGTGGGCTCCCTGAAGCTGAGATAATTTTAAAATATTTTCAAAACCTTTGAAATCCATCACTCACAATAATCCATCCATTCAGCCATATAAACACGTGTAACACACCAATCGAAAGAGTCGTCAAAGGGAACTATTAAAAAAAACACAGATCTAACTGGAACTCACAAATAATAACCACCTTAGCATGAAGATCTATCAGTACGAAATCAGAGACATCACGATACTAACATTCCGGCAGAATGTTCTTCACGTGCAGACGTGGGCCAGATACACGAAGTTCTGCAGCAAGTTTGTCAATGAAGATGTGCAATGTTGACGGAGAAAGTTCCGTCGTGTTCACCCAAGGAAGAAGCAGGGCAGTCCTGCCACCCACCGCAGCACTTACCACTTCCGGGTGTCCCCGCCTCCAGAATATAACTGGGTAAATACCCTTCCATCCACCCAGTCACATCGATGGACCTCAATTTTCGTAATTTTCATTCAATCTTTACATCAGAAATTGTTACTTATCAAATCACGAAGGCTGGGACGATGAATACTGCACGAATGAGGTGAACAAGCCCTCCTAGACTAGTGACAGCAGACGCCCAAAAGCTACCAAAAGGTTTATAATCAACGCCTCCGGTTCAACGTGAGTTGAATTTTGGACAACGGCGACATGACCATAAAGTGTGGTTCCTAACGTGTAAATTACATGGTGTAACGACGTAAAACCCAATGGAATGCACTCACAACGAACGAGTTTTAGATATGCGTGGAAGATAGTCATATGACGTTAGAAATAAGATTACTGAGATGAGCAGGGCATGTAGAAAGCATGCAAGATAAAAAAGATCGATACCAAAATACTGGCAGGAAAACCTTAAAGCGAGGGATACCAGGAATGTGTCTGTGAACTTCCGCTCATTGTCACAGCAACGTCAACCAACGCCTCACCGAGCTCAAATTCACCGATTCTGAACGCAGTCCTTATCGCTCAAAGGGAAGCATAGCAACGATTCCCCCCCGAGCACAGGAAGCAGACTGCACGTCAGTTGTAGAAACACAAATACGTCACTGAGACACGTGTTTCCACACAAGACACGGGTTTATTTTTCCATCTGCCTAGCAAAGAAGAGGGGTTCTGACAGGGAATTCCTCGCCTTTGGTTAGAAAATTTCATTTTAGTGCGGTATTACTTTTCAAGAAACACATGTATTAGAATGGACGTCTAACTTTAGAATCAAGAGAGAAGACTTTATCTTCTAAAACCAGAGACTCCAATGAAAATTATAGTCGTCTGTTTGTATTTTAACGTCAATACTGACACGGAGTTTATCCGTATCTTTCAGGATTTTTAACTGTTCGTATATTACCGGAGTTATATATCCAGACGCATTTCGCTTGATGGTAGCACAAATATAGGCTATTAGCAAACTACAGAAAATATTGTGGAATTACTTTAAACATTTTATGTAGAAAAATCTTAAATACATAACCTCAGAAACGGAAAAAAAACTACAGAACAGTTTATATGTACGTCTCCCAAAACAAAATTGTAGTGAAAAATGTATCTCCGTCAGGTTACTGTATGTGTGTTCTTGTACGAAATACACAAAATAAGGAGATGGCCTTACAATGTGGAGATCGTATTTGTACGTAATAGTCTAAAAATAATGAAATAATTTCGAATAAACTTGGCATTGAAAGAGTACAGTAAAAGTTTATCAAATCTAAAACTTCTTGACGATGGTGAAGAGTCAATTGAATAAAAATTTTCTTAGATATTATCCATCGTCTAGTAAGTATAAAACGTAAAACGACGTTTCGGAGATGGGACTCTATCTCCGTCTTCAGATTCCTACACAGTTGGGCCCACTAGATAGAGCTAATCCCTATCTCCGGACGATAGGTATTAGCTCTATCTAGTGGGCCCAACTGTGTAGGAACCTGAAGACGGAGATAGAGTCCCATATCCGAAACGTCGTTTTACGTCTTTTACGTTTTATATTTACTAGACGATGGATAATATCCAAGAAAATTTTTATTCAATTGACAGTAAAAGTTGTCTGACGAATGCATACTTTTCTTCACATCTGTCCAATATAATGCGACTGACGACACGGGGTGGACCTGCTCCTGGCTTCATTTTTTATACAGTAGTGCATGCCTGTTGTTAAGTTTCATTTTAAATGGTACATTCTGTACATTTTCGTCAAGACACAGCCGAAACTTCGTCGAACTGCTTCAAAATGTATTTGTAACAAAAGAAAAACAGCCCTTCCAACAACCTCCATGGTATATTCAGGGCCTCCTACGTCAGTCATTGTTGACTCGCAAGGCAGACAGGCGTAGTTAATCACAATCCCGGCAGGCCGGCATTAAGTTTCCCAGCCAGCGTTCAGTTCGTTCAACTTTCTGGTAACAGTCACCGTACGAAGACGGGAGCGAGTATAAAAGCTTTTATTTGTTTCCTTTCTTCAATCTTTTGTTGCGTTTTAATGGCGTTTCCATACTTAAAACCTTGCAATCTTGTTATATATTGGGCAGACGTTAGCACGTTTCAGTTTCAGTCGGACAGTTGAGTTCTTTGTCTGTCTTACAATCTCATTCCATTCCAAACAAAAGTTTAAAAAGACAAACGACACGAACAAGAGTT